AGGTTCTTGTGTCTTCTACATCATTTCTCTAGTATCCAATCCCATTGTCTCAATGCCGATTTCTTTCAATCAATCAATTTCAACCCAACAACTTTAAAAATAGAAAAAAGAGACTCCGTTAGCAACCTGATGCAAGCAACTGCAAGTCATTGAAAGCTTAAAGACAAAGAGACTACCAAAGGGACCATTAATTTCTTGGTAAAGACTAAAAATAATATTAGTTTTTTTTATATGAATCATATATTATCATATTGGTTTTCAACTTTAAAGTTTTATAAGTTTCTTTTATTTTATTTTAAAATTTTATCTTATACTTGTTAATAGATATGTTCTAACAAAAGTATTAGTATGCTCTCTCTATCTCAGAATAATTGATATTTTTTATTTAGAATTTATCCTAGAATAATAGCAATTTTTTTTATTTTAAGGAAAATAAATAGTTTTTTTTTTTCTGTTTTAACTCTATAATTATCTCTTAATTTTAATTATTTATTTTCTGATTGAAATAGATATTGATTTTTAGTTAGATTTTAAGTATAAAACAGGTAAAAATAGAAATTGTTCTCAAGTCTTTCATTTGAAAATAAAACAAAAAAATCTAGTATTTTAATATGGAGGGAGTAACATTTAAGTAATGAAACTTAATGATTTTTTATTATCACAAAAAAAGGTATAATTTCCTTTTAAGATTTAGAGTTGTTGAGATTACAAATAAAATTGAATATGATGATAATACTGAAGTTATATTGAAGTTATATGGAATAGAATTGGATTGGAGTAAAAAAAATTGAAAAGAAGAAGAAAAAGAAAGTGTAGATTCATAAAGGGAACATATATGAACCCAACAAAAGGAAAAACCTTAGATATAGTTATATAGATAAAAGCAATAAGAAGATAAATTAGTATAAAAGAGAGATAAACTAGTATAAAGTGTAATTAACTTGTAAAAAGGGAAAAAAATTGTTTAATTATAGAAAGTGGAAAGTAAAGGGATAAAATGTTACCGTATTTCATATTTGTCAACCTCATCTGTGGAGATGGAGAATCTCTTCACCCTACTAGCAATAATAGAAAGAGCATTTTTTGCCATGAAAATTGCGAAAATGAGACTTTGCAGCAAAGTAGAGCATAAATTCTTTTGAAATTCTTTGATTATTTATATTAAAAAAGAAATAATTCAGTCATTTAGTGTAAAGTTTATTTTAAATAAATTTCGAGATATAAAAACTCGTCTAGTATTATTTTAATTTATGATATAAAAATAAATTTTTAAAATTACAATTCATTATTTTAAGATTTGAAAAGGTGATCCCTCCTAACTAAACTAAAATTCCTGGCTCCGCCAATGTCCAGTACTACAGTGGCCTTCACATGTTCCGGTATACTAATTTTTTATGTCTGCTCTCTGATCGTTCACCAGAATTGGACCCATAAACATCTGACAGTGACGGATCCTCCAGTAATAGCAGCAAAAATGATTTCTGGAATCCCCTTTCATCCCCTCCTTCCTAGTCTCCTATTTTAATAAGCTTTGATTACTATTCTGCGGGGTCCTCCACTTTTTGGCCCTGTATTCCTTACGGTTTGAAGCTTGTTTCATTCCCTAACTAACAGCCGGTTTCTTCATTGTTTCTTGCATCCTCTTCTGACTCAGGTTCAACTTCTCCACTACTAGTTTCTGCAATTTCGCCTCCCCTTTGGGCTTTTCACTTTCTCTGTCATCCACTAGCGTCACTTGAAGGGAATACTAACTGATCCAGATTGATCGCAATTTTCCCTCCAGCGCCTTCTTGTTTCTGACATCCGATAATGTTACGAATCCAAATCTATTTCCTGTTCTATCCCTCTTCTTCGATATATGAAACCTCTCCAATTCTTTCCAAGTGCGCACCACGATACGCCAATAAATACCAGAGCTTTCCCCCTGTATAGTCTTCTGGGAAATTTGAGAACAAGTAGGAAGTCATGCCCTTCAAGTATCACCTGTCGTAAGCCGGTAATCTGTCTATCCGTCACCTGGTTGCTGTGTTACCTCTCCTTCGCCTTTGGTTGGTCGCTCCTTCTGGAATCCTCTTGTTATCTTTCACCCTTGCCATCTTGTTAATCTCTTCCTTTAAAATGTAAAGTTCTTTTAAACCGCATCATTCATGTGAATTTTTTAAATTGATCTAGTAAAGCTAAATAATTAATGGATTACAGTAAATTTAATATTGTCTAATATATATTAGTAAACATAATTTTTTATGAAAGAGTTATAAATGTTATGTTTATATCATAAATGTCAATTTATGTATTGATTTAATAGAACTAAATAGTTAATTTACTGTATGAAATTTAATACTATTAAATATATGTTATAGTTTCTTTTGTTCAAAGAGTTTTAAATGTTATATCAATATAAAAATTTACATTTATTATTTATATGAATAAAATTTTTAATCCAATAACTTTTTTTTGAAAATAGTAATTATAATGTTTGTTTTTAGGCAGATTCTCTAAAACAAATTAGAAAGGGTACCTATATTACACCAACTTTTGCATCTATGAAAATACTATAGTTATAATATCACGTAATATCGTGAGTTTATAATGTGATGTATTATTATATTATTTCTTTTCATTCAAAAGTCTATTCATAATATTGTATGCTTTTATTCATTTAATGTTATATTATATTTCATTTAATATTATATAATATTATAAATTTACAACCATACGTGCTATGATATTGTAACTATAGATATTGCCTATATATATAACTGTTTGTATTTCATATAATTTATTTATGGGATTCTCTTTTATTTTTATAAAAATGCAATTTTATTCTTGAAAAATATATTTCTCATAAAAAAAGTACCTAATTTTATCGATTTTTCAAATTTTTTACATGATGAAAATTTATACCACATTTTAATCTTAGATTTATCTAATTCCTTTAATTTCTTTATATTAAATAATTATTGGTTCCTCAATTAACGTCTATAATATTTTGAAACAACTACAGTCGGTGGAACGCATTGTTTCGCGATCCTGCAGTGAACATAAAAATGAGGATTATGAAACTCCTTTCCAAATATTTGCTGACGAGCACAAGAATTTGTTGAAAAAAGCCGAAGAATGGATGAAGAAAACAGCAGAATCTTCTACCGTTGTAGGTGCTCTAATTATAACCATTATGTTTGCTGCTGCTTTTACTGTTCCTGGTGGGAATGAGGAAAACTCAGGCTATCCCATATTTTTGCCCAAAAAGCCAATACCTTTTATGGTATTTATAGTATCAGATGCAATTTCTCTTTTTACTGCATCTAGTTCAGTTTTAATGTTTCTAGGCATTCTCACTTCACGTTATGATTATGAAGATTTCCTTAGATCCTTGCCCACTAAGCTGATAATCGGCATTTCTTCACTCTTCATCTCTATTGCAACAATGATGACAGCATTTTGTGCTGCTCTCTTCATTATGCTACCTGGTCGATTGGAAGTAGTCATTCCAATAACATTGTTTGCTAGTATTCCTATCACTTTCTTTGGGTGGTTGCAGTTTCCTCTTCTAGTTGAGATTTGTACTTCGACTTTTCGCCGAGAGATCTTCCAAGAGAAAAAGAAATCCTTCCTGGAGAGATGGTTTCATCTCTTTTGTGAGATAACCATAGCACTGCCTATGGCCATCATGGGGAAAAATTAATATAATTTGTACATGTGCTTTTACAACTGCCTATATATATATAGTTGCAATAAATATTTAGTTAATGTTTATTCTTTCATGATTTGGTTCTTCGAAGTGTGAAATTCATCTCTGCTAGTTGATTTTTTGTTGTTGATTCACTATTCTCTAGTTGTGGCCAAAAATTCTTGGGGGGAGGGGAATAAAACCTTGATATTGAACAAAATTTTCATTCAGTTAATTAATCTTTACTTTTTTTCATCTTACATATCATTTTGCACGATAATATACTTACAATGCCACATAAGGTTACAAGGGTAATGATACATAAACAACCTATTTGTACAACTTTTATAAATT